GTTCTAAGTTAGATCCAGTGAAGAGGCGTTCGACACATTCATTGGTTCCAATTAAACATAACAAGATTGTGTTTTTACACCTCTCTTATTTTTCTGTCATGCTGGAAACAGCATTTGAGAATGTTAAAGAAGGCGTGAGATTTGAGTTTAAGTCAACTGGAGGGTTGTTCAACCAACAACTCTTCAAGAACTGAGACGATTATACAAACTGTTCATGAGCTGCTCTTTACAGACGATTGCGTACTTGTAACCCACACCCTTGATGATATGCAATGGATCGTTAAATTCTCTTGTGCATCAAAAGCTTCCGATCTGACCATCAGCATAAAAAAAGGGGAACATGTCTATCAGCCTACCTGTAACAATCCCCCAGATCAGATCAGATCAGATTAATTTATAATATATATATATATATATATATATATATATATATATATATAAAAGTGAACATAGAAGTCAACACTTAGAGGCGACAGTCTGTTTCATGCTATATGCAATCGTCAGGCCACATATGCTGTTATTTTTCTCGGCTATTTATATATATACGGGTTAGTGGTGCATTGCGGGTATTCTATTATGGCGGTTATTTTTACCGGAAGTCGCTTTGTTTATTTGTTTGGGTCAAATTATATTGCTCGTTTTTATTTTTTTGTTTCTTATTTTATTTATTTATTTATTTATTAACGTAGTAAAAATTTGTTTATATCGCGTATTTAACGTATATCACGTATTTGTTTTGGTTTGAGAATTTAATTAAAGCTATTTGTTCAATTTTGGGGTTGGTTGTTGTAGTTCATTCTAACTATTATTTTTTTGGCGGGAACAGTTTTTTAATTTGGAATTGGTTTGTCTATTTATTTACTTGGATGAATTTAGGTCAATTTATTTGTATATTTTCTCTTTTTGGTTTTCGGTTTTCTATATTGAGCACTTTATCCCATAAATTTAGCACACCTTAGGACTATATTTCTTTTATATATATATATATATATATATATATATATATATATATATATATATATATATATATATATATATATATATAGGAGGCACGGTGGAGTAATGGATTGAGGAATCGGAGAGCCGAGTTCGAATTCTAGTCAGATCTGACCATCAGCATAAAAAGGGGAACATGTCTATCAGCCTACCTGTAACAATCCCCCAGCTGTTGATCGCACTATCTTAAAAAAAAAACTATATCCTCTTTCACCTATCTTGGCTCCATTGTATCCAACGATACTAAGATGGAGAACGAAATTGAGTGCAGGATTGGAAAGGCTAGTTCTTCGGTAATCTGTATCGTAAGCTTTGAAATAATCGTGATGTTTCGTTAAAGGTGAAAACAGATGTATACCAGACAGTAGTACTTGATGCTTTCCAGATATGTTGCTTACGTACCATCTGTAACTGAATCCTGGGTGATCAGTAAAGTTCTGGCTAAATGCAACATGACGGGTGTTGAAGCCATCCTAATAAAAATCCAACTCAGGCGGGCAGGACATCTTTCTCGTCTGAGCGATAGAAGACTTTCAAAACAATATCTCTTTGTCCAGCTTCTAAAAAGCAGGTCGGTTGGAAGGCCACTCTTGCGTTTCAAAGACAAACTCAAAGACAATCTGAAGCGATGTAGCATCCCCTTTTTTTCCTGAGCAAACAAAGCGTCAGAGCGAACAAGCTATCAACTGTCTCATGCTTCTCATCTATACAATCGTTTGAACGAGGCCGACTAGAACACCGTGATCAACTGCGGGCAAATTAAAGAAAGCTGGCAGCATGCTGATCCTCTCAACGATAACCTTACCTGCCACTGCGGCTTTGTCACACGCAGTAACGCATGACTTGCTGTCCACTCGCGGAAACATGTGGCAATTGAGAGTCAACCACTCTAGAAAAATGGATTAATCACATGGTCCAAAAAGTTCTAAGTTTACAAAACACCTGCAGGCGACACATGTTTACCCATAAAAGATGAGCACCTCTTTATTTTACTGAGCCCTCCTTTTTCGTCCATGATGAGAAAGTTCACCGTACACGTATATATATATATATATATATATATATATATATATATATATATATATACGTGTACGGTGAACTTTCTCATATATAGAAATATATATATATATATATTAAAGAAAAACAGACCACTTTAAGGTTCCATTATAATAATTTATTTCACCAGAGCCCTTTTAAAGAACGCTGGATTATCAGATAGCACTTCCAAAAGATGGAACGAAAAATGAAATGAAAATTCACACATTTGATGGGTAGTATTAAGTTTTTGTAATTTAACAGAGGGGGTAATGAGGGATGGTGTGAGAGACATGGTCGAGTTTAGAGAGGGTATATTTTAATATTTCTTTCAATCATATTTAGTATTACAAACCTTAGCAAGTGCATACTTGTATTTGAAATATATATATGTTTTTAAAATAGGATACAGAAATACTGACAAAGTTTTAAGAAATTTAACAAATGGATAACGTTTTATTCAGAATAGATTTGATTGAAAATAAATTTGATTACGCGTTTCACCTTTCTAGGCTTCATCAACTCTAAAAATGAAATAAAGAAATGTGTGTCTGTGTATTTGTGTATGTATTTGCGTGTAT